GATAACTTGAAATCGTAATTTATTTATTCAATTAAAAAACTTTTCAATAATTGACTATATTTTAAATATCTTTGCTTTTTTTTATTCTCTTTTTTATTTAACTCCTCTTCTACGATCCTTCATAAATAATAATATTTAATGATATAAACTATTGATATTTTATTATCTATAGATTCAGTTATCAAAATAATACGTCTCAAACAATTTTTCAACATAAATTGTTAGCATAAGTATTAATTTGAAACAAATCTAATTTAGTACCATATGATGATATGGAATTGTTGCGAATTAAAAGTTTTATATAATATATTGTCTGCAAAAAAAAATATTCAAGGACTGGATTGGTTACACAAAGTCATAAGATTATTTTATAGTACAACTTATTTTAATAATAATTAAAATAAATATTTTGATGTGTAAGGTAATTTTTCTTTCCACATATTAAAATAGCATTTTACTTAAAAATTGCAGAAGCATCTAATCTTATTATAGAAATAATTTAAGAAATACACATTACCGATGGCACTGATAATATGAATGCCAATATAAAAACATATATTTGAATTGACTCGGATTGTTATTCATAAGAAATATAAAATAGAATAAGTTGATTAAAAAAAAGTAATATAATAGAATTTTAAACTGAACATAAGTTTCCATCATAAAAATCAGTGAAATTGTTGAATCATTGAAAATCAATGAAAAAATGTAATACAATATATATATATATATATATATATATATATATATATATATTTAAGAAATTTAGTAAAATCACTCAATTTTATGATTACAAGTATTCATCTGAGATTTGTTAAGTAATGAATAAATGAGTGTATTAAGGATTTATATTTAAAATTCTATGAATAAATAGAAATAAGTAAGATATTATTTGTTGTACATTAGAAGAAAAATGTAAATAAATACCCAGTATAATATTTTGAATAAAATTTGTTCGAGTTCAAGTACAATTGTAAAAATACAATTACATGTAATTCATACATACAAATACACATAATTTAATCTATTGAATTAAACTAGAAGCGACGAATTAATAATTTGTTAAAACAAAAAAAAGTTTAAATATCTGTACAAGAATATATATAATCTTTAAGATTCCATGATATGTATATTACTGTAAGTACGTAAAAAAAGACGAGAAAGGAATATTTGGTGGATTCGTGACACCAGACTTTATTTATGCAAATATATACATGCATAAAGATAAATGATAAAGTCCGTGTCATGACTTCTTTTATCCCTATTTAATCGACTATACATATTATTCCTTTGAAAATTTAGGATATAAAATCAATACAAACAATTTTTATATATATTAGCATTAATTTAAGTAGTTAAGTAAGCGTATTTTTTTTACATACAAACAAAGCTGTTACAGTGGCACTACAAATACTATTACCCGTGGCTCCTCCGTAACATAGCTTTTGTATTTTGAAGATTTCAAACACAGACACGTCGTTCATCATAATATATAACAGTTCTATTGAACCATATTCTATTGTTCAAATTGTCTTTAATTATCTACTTGTCTATTTAAGCGAAGACATGGATACACCGCATAGAGGAGAAATAGAATTAACGTTGAGCAAAGCCACTAAAGATCTCACGCTTGAACTCGCAATGAAGTTGCTAGTCAGACCTGAATTGATTGTCCTAGAAATATGGAACTTCTTGTAATTATTTCTGGCTTTAAAGCAATCTTCTAATGCAGCTCTTGAAACTATAATTGAGTTGAGTTTGTAACAAGTAGTTGCTACGCTAATTAACTAGTAATTACTGCTGTCTGATTTTTGCAAAATAAAGTAAAGAGACGTTATTAAGTGGTTGTAAAAAAATTATCGCTACAACGATCTTAAGGATATTAACAAAACAACTATTCTGATCAAATAGCGTATTTTTAGAATCATGAGTAGTGTACATATTTAAGAGTAATATAACTATCAAATGACGTAGAGTGCAATACTTTCCAATAATCTTAATTCAGTGTAGTATATAATGATAATGTAGTTTGAAGTAATAAATGACGGGGACACTTGGATCTCCATAGTTGAACATTATTGCTTCAAGTTAGCAAAATCAGTAATTAAATTAATTTATGTTAGATTAGAGAGTATAATAAACAAAAATAGCAATGTATTAAATAACGATTACAGAAAATATATATATATATATATATATATATATATATTGATTAATAAATAATTGGAAAGTACGTCAATCCTATGATCCGTACCCAAGGATATAGATAAAAAATAGATATAGATAAAAAAAGATAACATATAGTTAACTTGAATACAATAATTTTCATTCGGCAGCAAGAAAGTGAGAAAGTAGAACGTTGAGGAATAGAAGTGGGTACTATAAGGGACTATAAGTCGATATAAGGAAGATAAAGACCGCAACATATTTATCTCAATTTCATGTGTTACAGCATATACTTACATATACTGTATGACATCATTCATTAAATTGAATTGAATAAAATAAATTATAATTATTGGAATACTGAAAATGCTTCGGCAAACCATAAAATACCTGATACAAAAACTAGAAAAAAAGTACTAAATGAAAAAAAGGACTAAACATGAATTACAAGGCACGTGTATATTCATTTTTTTACCGTAAAATGTGTATATAACACGTATAATTAAATTTCTCTTTATAAGTTCAGTGGTTGAATTCTTTTATGCCATTTTTAATTTTTTAATTAAAACTTTACTCCATTTTAAAATGGAAATCATAAATAAAGCATTTAGAATCAACTTCGCTCATATAGATTTTGCCAGTTTCTTGACTTTAAAATTCATCTTTACTTTAAAATCATAAGTTATATATATATATATATATACACATATATATATATATACACAACATATATATATATACACACACACACACACATACACACACACACACACACACACACACACACAATACTATTTACTTATAGTAGTATTGAATTATTATATTTAAAATAATATATACTTAAAAACTATGTAATGTAACGTATGCAATGCATTATTAAATTAAATCATCAATTGGAATTAAATTTCCTTTTTATTTGCTATGGTCCTATTAGATTTTCTAACATCTTTTATTACGATACATCGACTTTTATAAATTAAATAATGAATATTATTTAAAAATCCACGGAATAATAGCAAAAACTAATTTTAATGCATAATTAATTTGATTACCTTATTATTCCAAGACAAAACAAAAATTATTTTATCAGATGAACTATTTTAAAGATGAATAACTAACTACCGTTTCAAATTATAATGATATTTTCAAATAGAATCTGTATATCTGCATATTACAGAAGTAGAAATGAAAATTCGTCAAATTACAATGAAAATGTTAATTATATATTAATCATTTGCAAAGTATCGATACCGATGTCCTTTAAACAAAAGATAGTTTATACAATAATAAAGAGCAACTTAAGGCCTGTTTTTAAATAACATAGTGTTTAGGAAAACAACAATAGAAAAAGATAATTCGATGATGAAGCACTTTTGGATCGATAACTTTTATAACTATCAAAATGCAAATACAGCTGGAGATTCATATCTATACGTTTTATGAACTTAATAAATGGATTTTTATGAGATAAGCATTAGACGCGAAATTAAGGGAATATTAATGGAAAAGCTAATTAAAATGCTATTGACAAATCTTACGGAAAATTACAAACGTGAAAGCTTTTACTCATTTACTAACTCAGTTACTAACTCAATAGAAGTACATATTAATTTTGTCTTTTGAGCCTTTAATTGTTACAAAATGTCGATAAAAATTTAATACTACCACTTGATTAATAAATTAATCTCTTCTGACTAAGGCAAATTTGAGATAAAAGCCAAAGTATTTGAAATTACATTATAGTAAAGACGTTAAAAAATGGAAAAAAATATGTGAAGTATTCTTTCATAAAAGATGGTGTAAAAATATGAATAAAGAACGTATAAATAATATGTGGTAGATCAAAAGTATAGACAAAAGAGGTCAAGTTAAGAGAAAGGAGAAAATGAAAGAACGAGGAAAGCAAGGATGGAAAAATTATTTTTGCTCGCTGAAATTTTGAATAACCAACTTAGAAGTTTTATCTTACAACATTAAACTACGAAACGACTTTTTGTTACATAAAATGATTAAATGTTTTGAATTAACGTAACAATAAAAATCATATACAATATTAAAACAGAATGTTTAAGTTTCTAGTCAGCCGACTAGAGGAAGTAAATTAATGCAATATTGATATTATTTTAAAAAATAAATGAAAATTTACCGTGGCCGACCTAATTTGAATAGTTCCCTTTTTTGAATCTGTAACAACGCCGTTTTAAACTTACAATAATGAATTACATGAAATAGTAAAATTATTAATAATTGTACTGCTCATTAAATTATTATAGATTTATAAAATTTGATAAATTATTAATTTAAGATACGAATTTAATGTTAAAAATTCAATATTGTATTTCTATTGATAATTTGTCTGTATTCATAAATTACAAAGAAAATATGAATTAAATCGAAAGTTTGTTAATCACTATCCGTTTGATAATCCGTGCTTTAAATAATAAGAAAATTATAATGATATACAATAAAGAGGTTAAAAATTATTCATTTTCATGAATAAGTAATGATAAATAATAAATAATAAATAAACAATGATTTCCACCACCCCGAGATAATTATTTATATGTACCATTATAATTATTACTATCATTGTTGTTGTTGTTGTTGTTGTTATTTATTATTTATTATTTATTATTATTTATTGTTGTTATTGTTGTTATTATTATTTATTATCATTTATTGTTGTTATTGTTGTTATTATTATTTATTATTATTTATTGTTATTATTGCGTGCGCGTATTTTGGTGCGTGGTACTTTCGATATCGGAAAATATTTTCCATAAATAATTGTAAATACTGGACATTCTTATTTAATTTCAGATTATTCAAGGAGGATGAAGCAACATAAAGTTTATCGGCGGCGGGGACGCGACTTCGCCGGTTTCAAAGTGCTTCCGTTGCTCTTGTTGGCGGTCGGCAGCAGCCTCGATCTGAGAGTATTGTGCTCACCCTCGCACAGAGGCAGACATCACGCGACTTCGGACCACGAACTACAGCAGGAACGGGAGCTGCCGGGTTCGCTTAAGGCGCAGGTGGCTGTTGCAGCCGAAGATGAGCTTCTGCCACAGCCAGAGCATCTTGCAGCAGAGGCCCAAGCCCAACAGCAACCGGAAGAATTATCCGGGGAGAATTCTCTGGTCGTCAAAACGAAAAAGGGTCGCGTGAGAGGTGCGACCTTGACTGCCACTACCGGAAAGAAGGTCGATGCCTGGTTCGGTATACCCTATGCCCAAAAGCCACTTGGTGAGAGAATTTTACTTTACAACGCTTTCAACAGTTAAGAGCACATTTACCACTTACCGTCATTTTTCATTCTCCTCAATCGACGAGCTCCATTAAGACAGCGAATCTATTCCATCGTTATAACCAAAAATACTATTAAAAAGTCTATTAATTACAAAGTCAATATGTAATAGGCCACTGTTCAGTGAATCCCGATAAGATGTAAAAGTATACATTTTCATGCGAAATAGAAAATTCTTTGTATTTATAGGTAATTTGAGGTTTCGGCATCCACGTCCAGCTGAGTCATGGGATGGTATTTTTAACGCCACGAACCCCCCGAATAGTTGCGTTCAAATTCTAGATACAGTGTTTGGCGATTTTTCTGGAGCAATGATGTGGAATCCCAATACACCATTGAACGAAGATTGTCTCTATGTGAACGTTGTCGCACCCAAGCCACGGCCTACTAATGCCGCTGTCATGGTATGGATATTTGGTGGTGAGTTATTCTTTCTTCATAAAAGCCAAATGTTCAACTTGTTATTATCTTACACACACGCACTCGAACACGCACTCGAACACACACTCGAACACACACGTATACACACACACACACACACACACGTACAAACACGTGCAAACACGAACACACATGAAAACTTTTCACGCCCGTATTCGTTAAAATAATTTTAATTAGCATATCTTATTGTTTATTCGTGTATCACGATTTAAAAGCATTTGTCATCTTTGTTTGCATATTATTATTATTATTATTATTATTATTATTATTATTATTATTATTATTATTATTATTATTCATATCTAACGTTATATTTTAGCAGTCATTTGTTCTTTGAATAATAAATTTTAGTGGCTAACTATCTTGAATTCTACGGCATAAAAATTATTATTAATTTTAATTATCAAACAAAATTTACGTTACATTTTCTTTCATTCTTTCATTCTTTCTTAAATTGTAACAATAGCTTATTAGCTCGATTTAGTTTATTAATTATTTTGCGGATACTTTGATTAAAACACTTTGTCTTCTTGCTCTCGATTAAAATATCCTTTTTATCCATAGGCGGCTTTTATTCGGGTACAGCTACTCTCGACGTATATGATCATCGGACTCTCGTTTCCGAAGAAAACATAATCTTGGTATCGATGCAGTATCGTGTGGCCAGCTTAGGCTTCTTATATTTCGGCACCTCGGATGTACCAGGCAATGCCGGCCTCTTCGACCAGATGATGGCGCTCCAATGGGTGCGTGATAATATCGCTGCTTTTGGTGGTAACCCGGACAACGTCACCCTTTTCGGTGAAAGCGCTGGCGCCGTCTCTGTCTCACTACTTTTGCTTTCGCCTCTTTCAAGGTATTCGAAGACATCCTCGTACTTTTAATTGCTACAATGTACAAACGATGTGTAAAAAAGACTGCCGCGCAACATCTTACTCATATATTCAATATCTTACATATATATTCAACAACAAAATATATTATACACGTTAGTTAGAAGTTTAGAAATTTGTTATTACAGGATTTTGATATACGATAGATTATATCTAGGAAATATTAATGAAAATTTGAAATTTTCATACTATAATGATAGTTGTAGAGAGAAAAAAAAAAAATTCTTTCCATTTCCATAAAATTGAATTTATACATTCTACGTTTATTGAAAAAAATTTTTTTCCTACATTTTATCTGCGTCAGAGAAAATATTGCAATTAATTATTAAGTACATTCAATTTTATGTTCGTGTAAACTGCCGCTATTATACAATAAATTGATTATTTAAAAATTGTACGTAAGTCTATGACTTATATCGTTGTGAAAAATATCTTATGTCTGCGCTCATAGTTTGCTTGTGTCGTAGTATTTAAGGAGCTGCGATCGCAAGCTCCTTCTCGAATAATCGTGTATTTCCAATGAGGAAAAAGTTACTTTCCCCATTATAAGCTAAATTATTATTCAGCTCAGAACGATTATGCAGAACGTGTATTAAAAAGTGCCGTACCCGGCAATCTCTATGTTCCCAGGCACTTATTCAATCAAGCGATAATGCAATCGGGTTCGGCAACGGCGCCCTGGGCTATAATAACACGCGAAGAGTCGATAATGCGAGGATTGCGGTTGGCCGAAGCTGTCAATTGCCCTCACGATAAAAGTAACCTACGCGCGGTTATAGACTGCCTCCTCACTAAGGACCCGACCGACCTCGTTAATAGCGAGTGGGGCACTTTGGGTATATGCGAGTTTCCCTTCGTGCCTGTTATCGACGGTTCCTTCCTCGACGAAACTCCTCAGCGTTCCATGATCACCGAATCATTCAAGAAAGCCAACATCCTCATGGGCTCCAATACCGAGGAAGGCTTTTACTTTATTATTTACTATTTAACAGAACTCTTTAGGATCGACGGTGCGGAGGATGTGAAGGTACCGCGCGACGAATTCGTGAGGGCGGTCAGCGAGTTGAATCCTTACGTTAATCCAATTGGTCGCTATGCCATCATTTACGAGTATACAGACTGGCTTAAGCCCGATGATCCCGATACCAATAGAAATGCATTGGACAAGATCGTCGGGGACTACCATTTCACATGCAACGTTAACGAATTCGCCAGCAGATATGCCGAGACAGGGAACAAAGTTTACATGTACTATTATACACATAGGTAAGCTCATATTCTCGCATATTCGTTTATCACCTGCTGATAACAACAATATCAATAACAACAACAACAACGACGACGACGACGACGACGACGACGACGACGACGACGACGACGACAACAACAACAACAACAACAACAATAATAATAAGGAAAAGAAAATACATCTAGATATTATATTTACAAATTTCATAATTTCCCTGTATTAATTAAATTAAACTTGTTTTCATTCTCTTTTTATCTCTTTCATACAACAATATTTGCTGTTTCTTTTTTGTAAGCTGCAAAATTGAAACGTATAATTTAACACTCAATGAAAATAATATAAATACGTAATAATGTTACGTATAAAATATTTTAACTATTAATTCTATCTAAACCTTTATCAGTTATAATAAGATTTTTCTGTAAGAAATAAAATTCAGCATTAACTATTAATTGTAATTCTATTTCAATCGGTATGCAATTTTAATGAACATAAATGAAATTAAATTCTATATAAACAATGAATTATTAACTATTGAGATGCACATCTTAAAACATTTGTATAAAAGGATAACATTGTTGTTACTAAATAAACCTTGTACTAAACCATATATATGGATTGCTTAATTAATACATTAATTACTAATAACAAAAATATATGTTTAAAAAATCTAATTGATAAAATAATAAAACTAATTGTTGCAGATCATTAAATAATCCATGGCCAAAATGGACAGGTGTAATGCATGCCGATGAAATTAGCTACATTTTCGGCGAGCCACTTGATCCTGCAAAATCTTACACACACGAAGAAATTCATTTGTCTAAGAGAATGATGAGATACTGGGCTAATTTTGCTAAAACCGGGTAAAAATTCTATTTATATAATGATTAACATCCGGTCCCTACATTCTAATTCTTTAATTTTAAGACATTGTAAGTTTTTAATTTTTCCATTTATTATAACTATTAACCAATATTATTAACAATTAATATTAGTTTAAAAACATTTTAAGCAATGATTAACTCATCGTTATTGATTTATCAAATTCAAAAATATATTAAATTTCATTACAAAATTAATTTTAAATAAGGATGGACGCGTGATATTAGATAAAACTGTTAGCATTATTGTTAAACCAGTTTGGCAGTAAATTGATTAAAAGAATCAAATTAATTAATTATATATTTATACAACTTATGATTACATTCTTCAGCGTAAAAATAATATACTTTTTTTTAAATATTCAATATCAATGGTTAATTATAAATAATTGAATTATAATGTTTTACAATATTATTAATGTATATATATATATATATATGTGTGTGTGTGTGTGTGTGTGTGTGCGTGCGTGTGTGTGCGCGCGCGTGCGTGTGTGTGTGTATGTGCGCGTATATTAATTAATTTTATAATATTATTAATTATAATATTTATGTAGGTTAATTGTAAATGTTTGAAAATTATAATCAATACTTTAAGGAATGTGGTTATAATTACATGAATCAATATAAAATTCCTTAAATTGATGAAGTAATATTTAATTTTATAATAAAATTTCATTCTTTCTTTAGAAGAAACTCTGTTAGAATTTTTTTTTTACAATATAATTTATAGTATAATTATATGTATATGTAAGATAATTCATTCATAATCGTCTGAAAATTTAATTTAATCATTTCTTAACTTACGTACTTGTGTACATTAAAATGTTTTACATTGTTACATTTTCTAATTTTCCACGAAACTAAGAGTGTTCGTAAGTATTATTCGATAAGTTAGCTTTTCTGAATAAAAATTAAATTACTTGACTATGTTATCAGTGATTTACATTATTTTGTTGTTCCTAGCTTTCAAATTTTTAACATTTTTCATTAATATACAATACATTTGATACGCCGATAATTCATTGTAATATCACCGCGCTTCTCAACATTTTGAATTAATTTTTACGCAATAGACCTTTATGCATTACAGAGTATTTGATTCATTTTAATATACTTTCATTGTTAATGTTCATAATTAGTTGATGGAAATAATTGAATATAAGAGAACATGACATTATATTTTTACAAATATGTTAATAACGTTGAATGCAACATTGGACATTCTGTGATAAATATAATGTATAAATAAAATAAAATTTAGAATTATAATTATATGTTAATATTTGAAAGCCCTGTGAAAGTATATAAAAGCGCTTGCATTTCAATGTAAGGAAGCAAAATATTTGAATAAATTTGCAAAAATATGCACAGTAGATTCGTAGTCTGTTTGAAAAAAAAATGTTTGCGTAGATATTTCAGTAACTTTTCATAATATGAAATTTGCTCTATATTATTTTTTTTCTTCTACATTTCTATGTATTAATATCGCGATTGGCCAATTTTATATAAATACATACTATCGTCAATAAATCTTTGGAAGCTAAATTATGCAAAAAGTAAGCGTACAAAAAGTAAACCAAATGTTTACTTAAATACATGCAGGGATCCCAATATGGGTGATGATGGATCATCTTGGACGGAAGTGACATGGCCGGTACACACAGCAGCCAAAAAAGAGTATCTAACACTTGATACTAACACCACAGAAATTGGTTATGGTCCACGAGTAAGACAATGCGCTTTTTGGAAGAAATACTTGCCCCAGTTACTTTCTGCTACCTGTAAGTTAATCATCTTGTTTCATCCTTTGTTTTATTTTTTAACGTTTCTTCCTTTTTTTTTTTTTTTAATTTTTTTTTTTTTTTTTTTTTTTTTCTTCAACATAAGGGACAATTCTATTTTGCAGTTCATATAAGCCTTTAATGGTTTCTGAGGAAAAAATCTTTATAATTTACATTATTTCAAAATTGTTTTAAATTTCTTGATTATAATTTTTCTACTTAATCGTTTTACATAAAATTTGTACAAAGTACGTACCAACTATAAAGCAAAAGTTTATTTATTTTAATCTTTACTTGACTGCTATTGGGAGTAGTAGAATATTCATCAAGTAATATCAGTTAATGTTTATTTAAAATTATTATTAAAATTTTGGTTTTTTAATATCCGATAAAACAAAAATGTTTGAAATTCGGTTAGATGTTGTTTAAATTTTGTTTCAATCGCGAAAACAAATTTACAAATACTTTTTAAATCTTCGGCTCGGCAACGATAATTTTCATTATGTAAAATGTAAATCTAACCAAATAGAAACGAATAAATGTGTCAGTTATCATCTGACAATAGAAAGTAATTAAGAAAATAAAGGCAGAATGATAAAATGCAAAACATCTTTAAATTCATCCTCAACTGTACGACTATTGTGCCTCGGAGTCAAAATAAGTCATCGAATAAATCATCGAACTTAATCATTAATATGTCATAATTGGTGTCAGGTATTGCAATATCGTGATAAAGCAATATTTTTATCACTCGTCACATGCTTATGCCACTTGTCAATTATTTGTGCTGCTCCCTTTGCACTTACCCTCGATCTCGGATGACACCTGTTGAATCGTGAATGCATTTACTTAACCCAGAAATCGCGCGTTAAATGTTCGTACTCGAAGTTTGATTTGCCGTCATTCCACTTGATTCAAGAGCTACGGCCGGTGTCATTAAAACTCTTACGTCAAGCGATTAGAGAGTTTAAAACAGAGGCAATTATTGTACAATATGACTTTACGATGATTTGAATTTATAATACGGAATTATAGAAGACCATTGTAGGTGTAGAAAAATGAAGGAAGAGCGCGAATATATGGAAAGAAAGAGCTGACATTAGACAACATAGTTCTTTACATATAGAAGTAGAAGTGATATTGGAGTACAAAGTTCATTGTCATTTTACAATAATATCAATTAGATAAAACAAAAAATTCAAATGTCCTATTCAAGTTCCTCAGTTGTACGATAAGAATTTTGAGAAGAAATTTCGAAAACTAAAATCTGAATTTATGCATAAATTTTAAAGATTAAAGTCTATTTTGTTTGATTGACTAATAGAGTTAAGCATTAAAAGGAAAATTATCTGTAATTATATGGTTGAACAATATTGTACAAATTATATGGAATATTTATATTACGCCAGCAAATGTGACGATATTTATTTTATTTTAATCAATTTATATAAATTATTTATAAATTTATTTACCAATAAATTGTTATTACAGGATTTACAATTGAGTTTCTTTTTGAGTTATTTTTCTATATTTTGTAATTAAACAATATTGAAATAATTTGGACCGTTTGATATTTTACTTTCAACGCCTATCTTTTTGGTAATTTTCATTAAATTGATGAGCTATGGCTCTTGAACTAGTAAAAATACCTAGTATTATTACCTTACTCATTCAATGCATTTATTTCAATGTAATTTCTTTCGCATAAAGAAAATAACTCTTGGCATTAATCAATTGAGTACGAAATATTTTCATTTAAAAATCTTAAACTTTCAAACTGTAAACATTTATTAAACTAAATTCGATTTACGACAATTAACTAAAAATTTCATAGTAACATTAACTTTTACTTTTTATTTGAACGTAGAATATTTTTTCCAACATTAAATGAATCATTCAAATGTTATTAAAAAGATCGTTAAATAAAAGTTGTCTTACTTAACTAATTGACCGATTTGATTAATCAATTTGAATGTTAATGTAATTATTAATGAAGAATTTTCGTACTACTACATGTAATTGTACTAAATGCATTGAACAATCATTTATTAATTATTTACGTAGATTATATTTTGTACGTAAGTAATTATTATTCAAAACTTTTTTCGATTAATTAAGTATTACTCACATTATTAATCACAATATATAGTATCAATCACACATAATAGTCCACAGTGTCATATTATAAAGTAAGATTATAAATAAACATATTTATGTAAATAAAAAATGTAATGATTAAAAAATGAAAAATATTACTTACCATCATTTTCCTTTATAAATAATGAAATATTATGATTCTTCCTTTAGTATTGTGCTATCACTGTTAAATAGAATAGTGTTAGGTAGGTAATGGACATTTACGAATTACACAAACATATTCTTTGTAGCTCACTGATCTCAAATTAAGATGTTTTATTCTTTATATTGAAATCAACGATGTCTACTTCAATGATAGCGCCTTTTTATTTTTCTCCTAAACAATAAAATATTATTTTTTTCCAGCATTTCTTCATTATTCGACTTTCAGTAATTTACACTTTTCAATAATAGTTAAGTAGTATCCGTGGATGATTATATTTTTATAAATAAAAAATAAAAAGTTCACGGGGACATGAGATACTTTATTTTATGATTTTAATACGCATTACAAATTATTCTTATTTAATAAAATGTAAGAAAATTTTTAACCGAGTCAATAGTAATATATCTTTATTTATTTTAATTGTCAATTAATCAATTTTTTATTTTTTTACTTATTTATTATTTATTTAATTTATTGAAATTACCTTTTAATTAATTAATACAATATAATTATTATTAAAAAAAATTTGCATATAATGAAATCAATTGCAATTAAGTACGTTAAATTGAAATGAAAATGCGAATTTATCCTAAGATAGCTTAATTGTTATTTATAATTTTTGTGATAAGAAAAATAATGGATAGATATCTTGTAAAAAGTACATGAAAATATTTCAATTTTAAAGGTTATATCTCAATATGTGGTTAATTGATTTCTTCTATATTTACTTTATTACTCACAATAAAAAATATTATTTTAATTTCCTATATTAATTTCGTGTAAAAAAAAAGAAGGTTAATGTAATATTTTATTAATGATAATACACTTTTATTACAATGAAATTTCTTAAGAAATGAAAAGATTATTTGTAAAAGCTGCGTTTAAATACAAAATAATTTAAATTCGTTTAAAAATTTGATAATATTGTAAATTTAACATTTTCATTTTTTTAAATAATATATATCGAATATATAGGGTAATGTTAATATATTGAATTAAATATACATTTTAACTGTAACAATTTTCTGAGTACAATAAAAGAAGAACCTCACAACTTTCAATGAGAAAAATCTGTTTACCATAAAGTGAACAGGGAAAGAAAAGATTATATTGTAAAATATGAGAAAAATGTATTTTTACATTAAAAAATGGTATGAATTTTAAAATAATATTTTAACTAATTTTAAGTACAACTTTAAACAAAATCTCTTTTAGTTAATTATCGTGATATTTATATTTTCATGATTTTGATTGTAATGTAAAAATCATTGTGCCTAACCGAGTCTAATATTCGCATTTTCTAAAATTATGGAGAGCACATGTGAATGTGAGATAAACAGAAACTAAATAACAGAAAAATAGACTCCATACGAACAAAACAAACATTTTATTTTCATCTATCTTCATCCTTTCATCAATTATATTTTTTTCATTCAGAAATTTTTTTTTATAAAAATTAATATATTGAATAAAATTATGACACAAATTTAAATTATATAAGTTGTAATAACGACTACGTTCTTAAAAGCAATAAAACTTTTAAACAAAAAATTATTGAATCGTTTGACATGAAAGCGTTTTAATTTATTTATAAAAAAATATCAATAAAGAAAGAAGGAAGAAACTGAATAAAAAAATAAACGTATACATCCTTGTTGACATAATAACATCTCAAATACGTTTGTAACATCTTCATTCAAAAACTTTCTATTTCTTTTTTTTTATATGTCGACTTTTTATATGTCTTTTATTCCACTACTTTTTATAATAATTCGATGCTCATCATTTTACATTTCTTTATAACTGGTATATCTACTATCCATTATAATTCTTGTTAGTTTTTAACTAAAATTAAATAAAATAAAATAAAATAAAATAAAACGATTTGAGTTAATAATTATAATTATTAATTTAAAATTTTTTTCCCATCAAGCTCGAATATATTGTTAATGATATCTTTAAGTATATACTATTAAATGACTTCGTAAAGTTAATGACTTCAAAAAGGCGATAGATTGAAAATTTTAGATAGAAAATTCTATTTTTTCAAATTAAAATGATTCGTTAATATATATATATATATATATATATATATATATATATATATATATATATATATACGTGTGTGTGTGTGTGTGTGGAAAAAATTTACTATTTTATTTCCTTATATTAATATAATTGATTAATACAGTTTCTTTAATAACGAAATTTATGCTTTTTATCTGTACGTTATTTATATTAATATAAAATTAAATTTCAATTTATAACGTAAAAGCTAGTTTAAAATTTTAATTTAAACTTCTTAATAGAATATTATCTAACCGCTTATAATTTATAAATACATATATTCCATCTAATATGGAAATATTTTTCAATGATGGAATAGCTTGAAGTTGCAAAGGAATTTTTTTTTTTTTTTTTTTTTTTTTTTTTCATTCCCCCAAGACAATACACAAGACGAAAGAGAATGTTTATCAAATAACGTTGATCTCTTGGTCCTTCGTATAAAAGCTAACATAAAATAATTATGAATAATGCCTAAATAAATTTTACACGATTTACTAATATTTGTAGACTAAAATATAAAGATTTTTTTTTTTTTTTTTTTTTTTTAATTCGATTGATAAAAAAGTCATTAGTGATTAATCCGCGCATTAATTATCCGACTTTTGATTTATTGTTTAGGAACTTTGCGACAAATTATCAAATATATTTCATAAAAATATTTCATTTTTATGCAAAATTGTTCAATGTATTTTATTCATGTAAAAAGAAGGAGGTTATTTTCAATTTTGAGCCTTTACTTTCTGAATGTATTATAATCATTCTTACATATTTTATATTTTAATTTCAGCAGAAGGGGGCTGTAGTTGATATTAATTTAAATAGATTATAAAAAGTTCTTCATTAGAATTATTAGTTTCGTTAAGAAATTAGTCTCTTGCAGCGATAGTAGAAATGCATAATCATGAATTGTGATAAATTTGAGTCACGAGACTGATTGTACAGCAATATATTCTCTCTAATAGGTTGATTTTGTATTCTATTTATTTTTAAAAATTATCACTAGTATTTAGTGAAAGTCCTCGGCCTTGAAATATAATATTCTATTATATCCTAAGAGTTGAGCGAACAACAAACGAGTTTCTATCAATTACTTGCGATAATTATAGCAAACATTTTCAGTGTCATTTGTCTTTATGTACTTGCAACTGTTGAAAACTAGGATAACTTCAAGGTATTTCAAAGTATGTCATATGTCGGCGATCTACTTATCAGATAGCACATCCCGCTGATTATTTTCTTACTACCGATGACTATCTAAAAGAAAAATGTACATTCGCTATGGCGATTATAATAATTGAGTACGATTCTTTTAAAAAAATCTGCTTGTTAAGATACAAATTTGATCACGATTAATTATTTACTTTTTTAATTAATTATTTATTTACTAAAGATTTTGCAAGTTTTAATATAATCTCATAGCTATTGCAAATGTTTAATGTGATTAAAATTTATGTTACTGCATTATATCATTGAACGTATTATGAAATTTTTATGAGTGAACTATTTTTTACAGTCGACATGTAATATTGTCGTCCATTTTCAAAACATTTTCTCAATAATATTGCCAATAAGTTTTCTAATAACATTCATTAAATGAAGATAATTAAACCTGCACAGTGCAATATATATTTTACACCTTTATTTATTTAATGGTTCTTCGAGATTGAGATGTAGCGTTTATCGCAACCGTAATATCCCAATTACGATTATTCAATGGTTTCTTAATATCATAAAGTTTATTTAACCTATATTTACAAGACTTTTCTCCTACTTCTATGATACAATT